TCAAGTGCTCTCGGACGCTACCCCACGTGAGGGATGTGGTGTAAATGTAAGTTTGTTGTTTGTTTACTCACTGTGAACACGCAGTTGTAAAGCTGCTGTGAGCTGATCCGTGGTTTAATTCAAACACAGTCACTGAGTACGAACCGGAATCAGCCGGAGTCACTGTGTCCAGACGTAGAGTGGCATTGTTGGGGTAAAGCTCAGCCCGACCCTGGTAGTCTCCATAGTACTTCACTGTTGTTCCCTGTGCTGCTGCGATTGTGGAGCTGGTGTTGACTGTCCATGTTATAGTAAAACTTCCCTGTTCACTGGGCATTACCAGGAAGTACACAGATTGTCCGGCTGTGGCTTCTATGTGACTCTCAGTGACGGTCAGACTGAAAGCTCCCACCTGCTCTGTAACACAACACACACAACAGTCAATCTCCAGGAATCTCACAATATAAAAATAATAATATTAATAATAATCCTGCAGTTATTGTTCAACATCGTCTCGCAAGTGAGGAGACCCAGATTTGATCCCCGGGCGGAAGGGCGAAACGTTGGGCAGTTTCCTTACTTCACACACACGCCTCTGTTTCTTCGCAGTAAGTAGGAACCCGGTTGTTAACCGATTAGAGGCTTTTCGGGATAACAATTCCTTCAAAAAAGTAATAAATTGATGACTCAAACCATGACTGTTTGCGGGCACTACAGTGCACACTGTATAAATGGAATGATTATTAATAGTATATAATATCTTGCATTTCATATAGTGCCTTATCACGTCTTTGAGACGTCTGAAAGCGCTTCACGGGTGTACTGTAAATTGAATTATTGTATATTTTGTGGGTGAAACTTGGCAGCCAATTGTGCACAACAGTCCCACAAAGAGCCGTGGATTGAGTGACCTTTTTTTATTTTGAAGGATTATTATCCCCAGAGAAGCGATCTGCCAATCGACCAACAAGTGGTTCCTACTTATTGTTCGGTAAATAGAGGCGCGTGTGTGTGGAGTAAGGAAACTTGCCCAACCTCTCGCCCTGTGCCGCCCGGGAATCAAACCCAGGACTCTCACTTGCGAGGCGAGTGCTCCAACCACTGAGCTACAGGACTCCACAATTCAGAACAATTCTGTGGAAACACGACCTCAGTGAGAGAGTGGGAAACGGATCCCGAAGGAGACAGACGGCGGAAGCAGAAAATGTCATTTATTTCAAGATCAAATTGGATAGATTTCTGCAAGAAAATAATATCTCAGGATACAGTATATAGACACACACACACAGACACACAGTATATAGTTTGGGACACGACATGTGTAGCGACTGCCAGGACGGTGGAGATGAACGAGATGGACCTTTGCTTATGTTGTTACCAGTAACTCACCCAAATTAGTGACCAGAATGAGCAGAGCAGCCACCAACATCCTCGCGGCTGGAAACCACCACATATACACGTTAGGGAGAGAGACAGAGACAAACTGAATATGGGCTGTCACCTGAACGCAGGGCAGAGTCTGCTGTTAATCATTACTGTTACTGTAGGGGACCCTGACACTGGCTCTAATGGCACCCGGTGCACTTTCACTTTGTCAGGAATTAATATGTTAATTTATGAGATGAATAGTTTTGCTTCCTGTAAGACACACTTTACGCCCTCACTATTTTTAATATTATAATAATCCTTGCGTTTGACGCAGTGCGTTATCACGTCTTTGAGACTTTTCAAAGCGCTTCACAGAATACACTGTGAATTGTAGTGACTGTGTGTTTGTGGCGAAACGCAGCAGCTAATTGCGCACAGCAATGTTCCACAAACTATATGACCCAATAGTTAACTTTTTTTTTAATAATCCTGCATTTGATACGGTGCCTTATCACATCTTCGAGATGCCTCAAAGCGCTTCATAGGATACGCTGTAAAGTGGAGTGACTGTGTGTTTTGGCGGCTGAAACATGGCAGCCAATTGCACACAGCGACGTCTCCACAAACAGTTGTGGATTGAGTGACCACATTATTGTTATTTTTTTGAAGTTATTATTACCCCCAGAAACGCATTCCGCCAATCGACTGACGAACGGGTTCCTACTGACTGCTGGTAAACAGGGACGCGAGTAAAAAGTGTGTGTGTGTGGGGTAAGGAAACTTGCTTAAGGTTTTGCCCTGACACACCTTGGAATCGAACCCAGATCCGTTCGCTTGCGAGGCGAGCGCTCTAACCCCTGAGCTACAGGGACTCCACAAGATACTCACTGAGACACAAGTTTAGTGTGTGTTTTGTGATGTGTTCAGTGACTGTTTAGGGATGTGTTCAGGGTCATGTTTCGTTACCCCATCACCCCCATCTTCGTTCGACTCCACTGACTCCCCATCACTGAGAGGGTACAGTTCAAGCTCCTGGTCCTCACCTTTAAAGCCCTCCATGGCCTCACTCCCCCCCACCTCTGTGAACTCCTAACTCACCCCCTCCCAACCTGTCCACTCTCTCCACTCAGTAGCCTCCGGCCGGCTTCACATCTCCCACCGATTGGCTGTCGGGCCTTCAGCCTCTCCACCCCCTCCATCGCCTCCTTCAAGGCCAGTTTCAACACCTTCCTCTTCGACCATCACATCTTTGGTCACTGTCCTACCTTCCCCCTCCCCGTCCTCTACCCTTCCTGATCCCAACCCCCATCCTGGGTATAAACCTCTGACTGTCCAGCGCCTTGGGACGTCCTCCTGACATGAACATAATAATCATTGCATTTGATATCGCGCCTTATCATGTCGTCGTGACATCTCATTCATAGAACAGACTGTAGAGTGGAGTGACTGTGTATTTTGTAGCCAAAACATGGCAACCAATTATCATGTCATTGAAGTGGCTCAAAGAGCTTAGCAGGATATGCTACTGTAAAGTGTAGTGACTGTGTGTTCAGTGACTGCGTAGTGACTGTCAGGGTTAGTGTGCACCCCACCACACTCCTAACCTCTGACACAAGATGGAATTATTGCGGTCAAACCAAAGGAATTTTATTACCAGAACAAGATAACAAGAGAGAAATGTGGAGAGACGAGAGAAGCTCAGATTGTTCTCCTTAGAGCAAGAGGAGGATAGGGGAGATCTAATATAGGTGTTCAAAATGATGAGGGGTTTGATAGAGTAAATAGGGAGAAACTGTTTCAACTGGTGTGTGGGTCAGTAACGGGAGAACATAGATTTAATATAATTGGGAAAAGAACCAGAGGGGAGACGAGGGGACATTTACGCAGCGATTTGTCATGGTCTGGAACGCACTGCCGGAAAGGCTTATGAAATCAGATTCCATAGTAGCTTTCAAAAGCGAATTGGACAGGGACTTGAAAAGGAAAATATGCAGAGATACGGGGTAGGAGCGGGGGAGTGGGACTGATTGGGCAGCTCTTTCAAAGAACCGGCACAGACACGATGGGCCGAATGGCCTCCGCCTGTGTTGTAAGATTCTGTGATTCTACAACAATAATAATAATCCTTGCATTTGATATAGCGCCGTAACACGTCTTTGGGATCTCAGAGCTCTTCACAGAATATACTGTGAAGTGAATTGACTGTATATTTGTGGGCGAAACGCGGGAGCCAATTGCGCACAGCAGTGTCCCAAAGATAGTCGTGGGTAGAAGTAGCCAATATATTATTTTTTTTGTAAGGATTATTACCCCCAGAAAAGCAATCCACCAGTCGACTAACAACCGTATTCTTACTTACTGCAGTGTAAACAGAGGCGTGTGCGTGTGAAATAAGGACATTATGCCCCGACGCGCCCAGGAATCCAACAAAGGTCCTCTCGCTTGTGAGGCGAGTGCTGTAACCACTGAGCTGCAGGACTCCAACGATAAAACCCCTGACAGGTAAACCACCCGGAGCTCAGTGACCTGTGAGTTAGGAATGTCTGGAGTTAATTGCTGAACAGCTCAAAGGTTTCAGTTGTTTTGAAGCAGTGATTTCATGTGGAAGTGAAAGCCATTGTAAGATTAGCTCACTCATAAAGCTGGCTCGTGGCCTCAGATTCCTGTACCTTGCCTGCAGCTGGCTGGGATAATAATGGTAATAACAACAATAATAATAATCCTTACATCTTCTGGACGTCTCAAAGCGCTTCACAGAATAGTGAATCGACTGCATAAATTTGTGGGGGAAATGCGGAGGCCAATTACGCACAGCAGTGTCCCACAAACAGTCGTGGATTGAAATGACCAATTTATTATTGTTTTTTTGAGGGATTATTATCAGGGTGTGGAGTAAGGAAACTTGTCTAAGGCCTCGCCCGGCCGGGAATCAAACTCAGGTCTCTAACTAATAATAGTAGAAATAGTAATAATAGTAATTCTTGCAAAAAAGATAAATTGGTCACTTCAATCCACTATTTGTGGGACACCTCTGTGCAATTAATTGGCTGTTGACTAACAAGTGAGGTCCTACATTCTGCTTGGTAAACAGAGGCGCGCGCTCGCGTGTGTGTGTGTTTGTCTGTGTGTGCATGTCTGTGTGTGTGTGTATGTCTGTGTGTGTGCGTTTCTGTGAGTATGTGTGTGTGAGTCTGTGTCTGCGTATGTGTGTGTGGAGTAAGGAAACTTGCCCTACGTTTCACCCTGAATACTGAACTCCTGATAAATAACATTAACTTCTCAGTGAGCCGATAAGTCACAACAACAACAACTTGTATTTACACAGCGCCCTTTACGAGGGTAGCGTCTCGGAGTGGTGGAGCCTGACGCAGAGCCAGGTGGAGGGGAGAGACAGGCAGAAGGTGACCGTGAGCATGGTCAAAGAGAAAGATTTTCAGTCGTGATCTAAAAGAGGGGGAAGGATAGGAGAGGGGAGGAAAGGGGGAAAGGCGGAGTGATCGGGGGAGAGAACTCCACAAAGTCTGACAATACGACCCCCCATGATGGATCAGAGGGCACGAGGGACACGCAGGAGGCCAGAGGCAGCCGAGAGGAGGCAGCGGCTAGTGGGTTGGGGGGGTCAGCAGGTCGGAGAGAGAGGTAGGGAGGTGCCGGAGCCTGAAGGGATTTGTAGATGATTGAAAGGATCTTGAAATCGATCTACGTTGTCACAGCTATCTACTTCCTGGTGCCATTACGACGTAAATTGTGATAAATATCTTTCTGGTGCTTTCCAAGGTTCTGAAACACAATGCAGATCAGACAGACCATTACTAACAACAACATTTTACACTGAACCTTTCACATCAGGAGGACGTCCCAAGGACCTGGAGAGTCAGGGATTTGGATCTGAGCTGTGGGTTGGGATCAGGAAGGGATGGAGGGTGGGGAGGGAGGGGGTAGGAGGGTGACCAGGTTGAAGAGAAAAGTCTTGAGACAGGCCTTCAAGGAGGTGAGGGAGTGAGTGAAACCGAGGGATTGTGGGATGGAGTTCCAGAGGGTGGGGCAGAGTAACTGAAGGCCTGACCGATGGTGGGGCAGGTGAGGCAGGGGATGTGAAGCAGGTCGGAGCCCACTGAGCAGAGGGAGAGGACAGGTTGTTAGGGGTTAGGAGGTCACAGAGGTAGTGGGGAGCAAAGCCATGGAGGGCTTTGAAGGTGAGGACCAGGATCTTGAACAACAACAACAACAACAAGATTCCATTTATAAAGCGCCTTTCACGTCAGGAGGACGTCCCAAGGCGCTGCACAGTTGGGTCATGACCCGAGCAGGGGGGAAATGGTCAGGGTGAGGGGAGGGAAGGGAGGGAGCAAGGAGGGGGGAAATGGTCAGGGTGAGGGAAGGGAAGGGAGGGAGCGAGGAGGGGGAAGAGAGTCGAGAGGGGATCTGAAGGCTCGGTCAAAGAGAAAGGTTTTGAGACCGGCCTTGAAGGAGGAGAGGGAGGAAGCGGCGAAGGCACTGGGGGATAGAGTTCCAGAGCCTGGGGGCTGAGAGGCTGAAGGCCCGACCTCCGATGGTAGGGCGGTTGGGCGGGGGACGTGGAGCAGACCGGAGCCAGAGGAACGGAGGGTACGGGCAGGTAGGTAGGGGGATAGTAGGTTGGAGAGGTAGGAGGGAGCGAGGCCGTGGATGGCCTTGTAGGTGAGGATGAGGATCTTGAAATCAATCCTCTGGGGGATGGGGAGCAGTGGAGGCGAGCGAGGGCGAGGGCGAGGGCGAGGGCGAGGGTGGGAGTGATGTGGTCGCGGTGTCTGGTGCGGGACAGTACACGAGCTGCAGAGTTCTGAATGACCTGCAGTGTGGAGGGAGGTGGCGGGAAGGCCGGCGAGGAGAGAGTTCCCGTAGTCTAGCCTTGAGGTGACATAGGCGTGAACCAGGGTTTCGTAGTCTGGCGATGTTCCGGAGGTGATGGAAGGCGGTGCTAGTTGTGGTGCGGATGTGAGGGAGAAAGGACAGCTCAGGGTCGAACAAAACCCCGAGGTTCCTGATGGCTTTGAGAGGTGGAGAGTGCGGCCTTCGATGCTGATGCTGTCAGTGCCTGAGGTGCGGAGGCGCTGACGTGAGCCAATCAGGAGGGCCTCGGTTTTGCACACGTTGAGCTGAAGAAAGTTGTCTCTCGTCCAGGACTCGATGTCGGACAGACAGCTGTCAGGACATCGGGGGTCGTGGAGTTGAGAGTAGAGGAGGAAAGGTAGAGTTGGGTGTCATCCGCATACATGTGGGAGTTAACTCCATGTCTGTATGCTGTGTGTGATGGGAAGCAGTGGAGTTGGGGAGGGTGGGGCTGATGGGGGGCAGAGCCTGGGGTGGGAGAGGACAGAGCTGCAGAGTTAGTTCTGGATGATCTGCAGTTTGTAGAGGGAGGCGTTGGGAAGGCCGACAAGCAGGGAGTGGGCAAAGTCAAGCCTGTATGTGGTGAACACATGGATGAGGGCCTCGGTGGCCTGTGGTGAGAGACAGTGGCGGAGCCGGGCAATATAGTGGAGGAAGGCATAGCAGGACATGGTATGGATGAGGGGATGAAGGACAGTTGAGGGTCATAAAGGACAGAGGTGGGACAGCAAGAGACTGAGCCGGGCTGACACACTGTCCGTGTCAGCCATTTGTTTCCTCACCATGTAAGGGCCTGAATCCTTCTGGGAGACATTGGCAGAGGAAGCCTAAAATATAAACAAACACAGTTTAGCTACTCATTAGCAATGTCGTTAGCAATAAATAATAATAACCATTGCATTTCACAAGGCAGCTTATCACGTCTTCAAAACGTCTCAAAGTGCTTCACAAGATACACGGTAAAGAGAATTGACTGTTGTTTCGTAATAATAATAATTGTTGCATTTGATATAGTGCCTTATCACGTCTTTGAGTCGTGTCAAAGAGGAGCCAATTGCCTAAGGTTTTGCTCTGTCCGGGAAACAAAACCGGATCCTTTCGCTTGAGAGGCGAGGACTCTAACCACTGAGCTACAGGACTGCACAGGACTTACTCTGACATCAATGGTCTCGTAGTGTGGTTCACCCTCTGTCTCTTGCTGTGTTTTGGCTGGAAAATAAACAACAACTTGTTTATTCAAAGGCACAGCCTCTGATGGTGGGATGGAGGGAACGAGGGACAAATAGGAGGCCGGTGTGGGGGCGGTGGGGGGTGAGCAGGTCAGAGAGGTAGGGAGGTGCCAGGGCATGAAGGGGTTTGAAAACGAGTGAGAGGATCTTGAAATCGTAGAAAATCTTGAAAATCTACAAGAGTTTGTACATTTGCTGAACCGGTGAACTTGGAGAGAAACGGAGAAGGAGGGACTGATAGAGAGACAGAGAGAGAGAGAAAGAGAGAGAGAGAGAGAGATTGGTAGCGAGAGATAGGGTTAGAGCCTGACAGAAAGACAAAGAGGGAGCGATTGAAAGAGAATGGTGGAGATGGATGGATAGAGACTGATAGAGAGTGAGATGGAGGGTGATAGAGAGGGGGGGATAGAGGCTGATAGAAAGGAGATGGTGAAATGGAGTGGGAGAGACTGATAGAGAGAGAGAGAGAGAGAGAGAGAGAGAGAGAGAGAGAGAGAGAGATAGAGGGGGAGAGACTGATGGAGGAAGAGTGAGACGGAGAGGGTAGAGACTGATTTGAGTTTGTGACGGAGGTGGATAGAGACTAATAGAGGGAGTGTGAGACAGAAGGGAAGAGACTGATAGAGAGACATGAAGGGGGAGAGACTGGGAGTGAGAGAGAGTGAGACGGAGGGGGTAGAGACAGATAGAGAGAGACGGAGGGGTAGAGACTGACAGAGAGAGATGGAGGGGGAGAGACTGATAGTGAAAGAGAGTGAGACGGAGGGGTAGAGACTGACAGAGAGAGAGGACAGTGAGAGGGTGAGTGGCTGAGGGGGGTCTGGGCTGGTATATAAACAACAGAACATGAAGGTGAAAGGTTTTCCTGTGTATATACGGCCTCACCTTCCTTACGTTTCCTGTAAACGTACACCACAGCGAGTGTTGCAATGACCACCACAGCCACAGCCCCCACTATTGTCCCCACTATCAGGGCCACATTCACTGCGGAGAGAAACACCTTCACTGTCTCTCTATTAGATTATACTCTCGTAACATAGAGACCACAGCACAGACCTCATGAACATCATATCAATCCTCGCATTTGATACAGCGCCTTATCACGTCGTTGTAAAGTGTCGTAACTGTATTTTGTCGGCGGAACACAGCAGCCAATTGCGCACAGCGGTGACCCACAAACAGTTGTGGATTGATTGACCAGATTCTTTGTTTTTTTGGAGGGATTATGACCCCCAGAAAGTGAACCGTCAATTGACTAACAGCGGGTTCCTACCTACTGCTGATAAACAGAGGTGCACATCTGTGTGTGTATGTGTGTCTATGTGTGTCTGCGTGTGTGTGTGTGTGTGTGTCTGTGGGTGTTGTCTGCGGTGGGGTGTATATGTCTGTCTGTGAGTTTGTGTGTGTCTGTGACTGTGTAAGTGTGTGTGTCTGTGTGTGTGTCTGTGTGTGTGTCAACATATCATAACTTACCTCCGCCTTTCAAAGTCACGTCAAATTGGAAGAGGTTCTCTCCCATTGCGTTAGTGACATGGCATTGATATGTGCCCTGATCGGTTGCCTGGAATTTACTGATGAGCAGTTTAGAGAAGGTTAGTCCTGAGGTGATGTTGAACTTGCCGTCAGAGCCAGTGATGGAGTTGTCTTCCTTCGACCATGTAAAGTGTGCGGGCAGCAGGCCAGGGTCTGACACCCGCACTGTGTCTGTCAGTGACACGTCTAAGGTCACATCTGCCTCCTTCCCCACTTCCACCTGAGGCTCAGACCCTGACGCTCTCTGGGGTTTATCTGTATAACAGCACAGACGGCGTTCAGCAAAACAGCAACACAGTCACCCCAACAGTCAGTAGGAATAATAATAATCCTCCCGTTTGATACAGCGCCTTATCACGCCATCGAGACATCTTAAATCCCATCTAAAGACCTTCCTCTTCGACCAACCGCACCTTCAGCCACCCTCCCACCCCCAACCACCACCACCCCCTGCCCTCCACCCCTCCTGACCCCAACTCCCAGCTCAGGTCCAAAAACCCAGACTATGCAGCGTCCCGGGACGTGTTTGCGACGTGAAGGGTGCTATACAAGTGTAATTTGTTATTGTCGCTGCTGTTCAGCCCTCAAGTCCTCACCAATGACTATAGAGCATTGACTGTCAGAGACAACATGGCGTCCAACACATGTGAAGATCTCTCGGGAGCTGAGCTGATCCTTTGTGATGGTGACATTCCCCTCGTTTGTCCCATTGACAATCGTCTGTCCGACCTTCAGCTGAAGGACAGTGTCTGGCACCCCACCAGCCCAGGAGCACATCAACCCACTGCTGTTCCTTTATCCGCTGCTCCGCATGTGATCTGCTGTGTGGGAGTCCCTTGAACAAGGCAAAGACAAACAGTCCAGTTATTGGCTCCACCTTGAGTTGTCCCCACCCTCGCCCGGCTCCACTGGCTCCCCATCCCTCAGAGGATACTGTTCAAGATCCTGATCCTCAACTATCAAAGCCCTCAATGGCCTCACTTCTCCCTCCCTTCCTCTGTGACCTCCTAACCCCTGACCAAGCTGTCCACTCCCTCCGCTCATTAGGCTCCAACCTACTCCATGTCCCTTCCCGGCCCACTCCATCATCGGCGTTCTGCCCTAATTTGCCCCATCCTATGAAACTCCCATAACCGCTCCGCCTCGCCCTCTCCCTCGCCTTCTTCAAACCTGTGCGATCTACTGTGCCTTCGTCACCCTCCTACACCCATCTCCCTGCCCTCCAACCCTCCTGATAGCAACCCCCAGCTCAGGTGTGGGTCCCTGACTGTCCAGCGCCTTGGGACATCCTCCTGACGTGAAAGCCACTGTGTAAATGCCATGTGTTGTTATTTAGACAGTGCCAACTTTGACTGAGATCTAACTCACTGTACACGAGGATTGAAACCTTCTCCGTGCGGCTAATCGTGGTGTAATCGCTCTCCACATTGCAAGTGTAATCCCCGCTGCTTTGGAACGTGAGGCTCTCTATAGGCAGCTGTGAGGTGTTGCCGGCAATGACCGCGGTGTTATGTGTCCACGTGTAGTTACACTCTGGGAAACATTTCGTCTGACAGTTGAGTGTCACTAAATCTCCCTCCTTCCCACAGTACTGTCCTGGGAAGAAGCTGTCACATAGCTCCAGCCCGATCACTTCAACTGTGGGTGGATCAGGGCCATCTGAAAGAAAAAGCATTAAACTATGACATAGATAGATAAATGGATGGCAGATGATAGTGTGAGAGAAACAGCCTTTTTACATGTATCACAGGAACCTGGGAATCTTGTTTGACCCTGAACTGTCCTTTCTCCCCCACATCCGCGCCATGACAGCACTGCCTACCGCCACCTCCGCAATATTGCCAGACTCCGCCACCTCCGCAATATTGCCAGACTCCGCCACTGTCTCAGCCATCAGGCTTCCGAAGCCTTCACCCACGCATTCATCACCTCAAGGTTTGATTACGTGAACTCCCTCCTCATCGGCCTTCCCAACTCTTCCCTTCAGAAACTGCAGATCATCCAAAACTCTGCAGCTCGTGTACTCTCGTGCACCCGGCTCCGTGACCCCATCACTCCCACCCTCGCCGACTCCACTGGCTCCCCATCCCTCAGAGGATGGAATACCAGATGCTTGTCCTCACCTTTAAGGCCATCCATGGCCTTGCCCCCTCCTATCTCTCTGACCTGCTGACTCCCTACCAACCTGCCCGCGTCCTCCGTTCAGTGGGCTCCGGCTGCTCCATGTCTCCTACCCGGCCCATCGCTGGCCGGGCTTTCAGCTTCTCTGCCCCACACTCTGGAACTCCATCCCACGGTCCCTTGGCCTCGCTTCCTCCCTGGTCTCCTTCAAGGCCGGTCTCAAGACCCTCTTCTTTATCGTGCTTTTGGTCTCCCTCCCACCTCTCTGCCTTCCCTCACCCCTCCCCCACCCCTCCCACATGCTCGGGCCCCGACACCTGACTGTTCAGCACTTTGGAACGTTTTCCTGACGTGAAAGGCGCTCTATAAATGTAATTTTGTTGATGTTGTTGCTGTTGTTCTGGCCTTTTGTGGGTCCCTCCTGAGCGCAATTGGCTGCGCGTTTCACACATAAAATATACAGTGAATTCACTTTACAATATATTCTGTGAAGCGATTTGAGACGAGGTAAGGCACGTTTTTTGGATGTGTTAATACCTCTGGAAAAGTGATCCGGCAATCGACTAACAAGGGTTCCCGCTTACTGTTAGGCAAACAATAGTGTGTGTGGGGGTGAATGTGGGGTGTGTGGGTGGAGTAAGGAAAGTTGCGTTAGGTGTCGTCCTGACCCGCCCGGGAATCAAACCCAGGTCCTCTCGCTTGATAAGGCGATATATCAAGTGCAAGAATGATTATTATTCTGATGATCATGACTATGATCATTATTATTGTGATTATCATTACTGTTATTGCAGCTCAGGTCACGTGAGGCTGACTTTGGGTCATGGAGTTTAAAGCGAGTCGGGGTTCCTGCTCCTGGTCCCTAAACTCCCTCTCGGGCTCAGGTGTGTGTGTTGCAGTCTAGTGAGGAGATTAGGTTTGTCTGTGGGGCCCTCTACAGTCAAGTGGCCGATTGATACTCAAATGGTGATGAGATCTTTAACCTGAACAGACAGATAGTTTAACGTCTCATCCAAACAACGGCTCTTCAATGATAATAACAATAGTGGAGTCCTGTAGCTCAGTGTTTCGAGCAAGTGAGAGTCTTGGGTTCGATTCCCAGCAGGGGGTGAATGCTTGGGCAACTTTCCTCACTCCACACGCCTGATAATAATCCCTCAAGAAAAAAAAACAATAATAAATTGGTTACTTCAATCTATGGCTGTTTGTGGGGATGTCGCTGTGCGCAACTGTCTGCCACATTTCACCCACAAATATAGTCAATTCACTTTACAGTATATTCTGTGAAGCGTTTCAGTCGTCCAGAAGACGTGAAAAGCACTGTATCAAATGCAAGGATTATTATATTATTGATAGAGCAAAAATGTCGGCCAAGTTTCCCTACTCCCAAACACACCCTCTGTTTACTGAGCAGTAATTAGGAACCCGGTTATTAGTCGATTGGTGGGAATCAAACCAAAGTCCTCTCACTTGCGAGGTGAGGGCTCCAACCACTACAGGACCCCACTGTTTGTTCCTCTATTCACAGCATCAAACCCCAATGTAGAATATTCCAGCATTGCATTGGAGCTTCAGTCTGGACTACATGAGTTCCAAGTACTGAGGTGAGGCCACAACCTTCTGACTTATAGAGAGCTGAGCCAGGCTGGAACAAGTAGGGATATACGTGGGCCAACTGCACTGTCCTGTTCAGCTCACGTTGATCTGGTTTTAACACCACAGCAAATATACTCACAAGTTATCACCAGCTTCACTGGTTTGCTGCTGTCACTGTTCACCGGGTTACTGGCCGTGCAGATAAACCCTCCACTGTCGCTCCTGTGTACGGGGCTGATTGTCAGAGTGCTATTATCTGCAGACAGTGTGTAACGTGGGGTTACAGGTAACGGGTGTCCACCCAGTGCCCAGGAATAGGTGGGGAACGATCCCATCGCTGTACATCTCAGTGTCGCTGTGTCTTCATTCTCGATAAATATCTCCTTGTCTGGACTCAGGCTGATGCTCACATTGGACACCAGGGCTGTAAGATAAAGTGTTTTATTTCATTCAGACACAAAGCTTAACACAAAGCTGTTCTGATTCACTTTACTAACACTGCATTGCATTTCCAACACTGTTTGTGTTATTATTTTTCCCCCTTAATTCAGACATCAAGTGCTCTGGGACGCTATCCTGCGTGAGGGGGGCTATATCAATGTAAGCTGTTGTTGTTATAATATTAATCCTTGCATTGGATACAGCGACTTATCATATCTTCGAGACATCTGAAAGCACTTCACAGAATATACTGTGTAACTTGTGGGTGAAACGCGGCTGTCAATTGAGCCCAGCGACATCCCCAGAAACAGTTGTCGATTGAGTGACCAAATTATTATTATTATTTTATTTTTTTGAAGTAATTATTGCCCCCAGAAAACTGATCCGCCAATGGACTAACAACTGGGTTCCTACTGACTGCTGTTAAACAGAGACGTGTGCAGTAGGAAACCTGCGCATTGTTTCGCCAGGAATCAAACCCTCTCACTTGCGAGGCCAGTGCTCTAACCCCTGAGCTACAGGTCTCCGTACATAGTATGCAGTTCTGTAGTTAGTAGTATTGTTACACCAGTAGTTATGCGCTCAACAATCTGGGCCAAGAAAAGTAAAAGTTGTGGGGGATTTGGGCATTTTTGACAAATTTTGCAGAAAATGGCGGGAAGTTGATCGGGGATATTGATGAACATGTTTTCACTTTATTGATAAAAACTGAACACGAGGAAATAAGAAATATTACATTGTTGGGGAAAAATATAATTGCTTCTTTATCAAGGACTGGGTGTCTTTTTTGCGGGGGTGGGGGAGAAAGAGACGCACACACACACACACAAACACACACAGGGAGAGTCACACACTCACAGAGAGACGCACATACAGAAACACAGAGAGACACACACTCTCACAGAGAGACACACACACTCAGAGACTCAGCGAGAGACACACACACAGACACAGAGAGCAACACACACATTTGTATAGCGCCTTTTACATTGGGAGCATATCCCATAGATTGAGACGCACTCACAGACACAGAGAGACACTCACAAACACATAGAGAGACACACAAGGGGACATTCACAAACAGACGGAGACACAGACACACAACGACACTCACAAACAGAGATACACAGTCACACAGAGACACACATAGCTCACAAATGCATATAGGGAGACACACACACACACTCATTCACACACGGACACAGAGACACACTCACAAAGAGAGAGAGACACACACACTCACACACAGACGCAAACAATCACAACAGCGGTGAATCCAAGTGAAGCCCATTTGCATGTCCTGAGCCGAGCGCCCCACAGTGACGTCAGTGAGGCCCGTGGGCCGGAAAGTACATTATTATTTGTACCGGGTTTCTAATAATAATAATGACAATACTCGTATTTGATATAGCGCCTTATCACGTCGTTGAGACTCTTGTATTATTATTGTATTAATAATATAATATTGTAGATTGTATTAATATAATATCGTAGATTGTACTAATAATATAATATTGGAGTGGGCTCCGCATGACAAGGGCGCACATTTCCATTGGTCCAAAAGCAGATGTCGCTGGGAACACTCAGCCGGTCAGGCAGCATCTATGGAGAGAGGAAAGTGA